AGAGCAGCAAGGTGACGTGGGTGGAGGTAGGAGAAGGAAGAAGAACATGGGGTTTACCACATTCGCAAGCAACACATGCATAGGCGGTTCCTTTATTTAAGTATAAGTAATGTGTGACATCATAACTGCTCATATAAAAGACTTGGTTGGTGATTATGATCGTCCGATCTGCATATAAGACACGCGAGGTAAGCTATGATATTTGCAAAAAGACCCAACCACTTTGATGCACATTTACAGAAAACCCTATAGTCTCTTTTTTTTGAACATAAACCCTATAGTCTCTTCAGGCCCGTATATAAGTTGTGTTTGCTTTCTTGGGCTTCCCCTGTTGTTGTGTACAAATGTTAGATTACTCCTCCGTTCCTAAATATTTGTCTTTCTAGAGATTTCAACAAATGACTACATACGGAGCAAAATGAGTGAATCTACACTATAAAATATGTCTATATACATCCGTGTGTGGTAGTTCATTTGGAATCTCTAGAAAGACAAATATTTAGGAACGGAGGGAGTATAACAGATGACAAATATTGTACAGAAAAAACATATTTAATAAAGGACGATTGGGGTACTCACGCCACAATTGCACATCAGTTCTTGCATGGACCTTGCTCCCTTCACGTTTTTTCTGCTTTTGCCATACCTTATACAAAACCTAGACTCCCAGGAGTAAAGGTTGTAAACATCATATGCTTCTCCGAGTGAATCAAACGTCAAGCCAATCCCAGGTGCTACTACTTCTTCAGTTTTCCTTTCTGCAAAACCACGGAATGCACTCTCTAGGGCAGTGATTCTCTCTGCACTGGCTGCCCTCTCGTCAAGCATTGCACCGTGCCTTTCTCTGCACATTTTACTTGGTTAGTTTAGTATTCGGTAATTGGAACAGGTTATTTAATAAAGGGATTTAGAATTACCTTCTAACCCAACTGTTCTTCTCTCTTTTAACTTCTATTAGGTTGGGAAGCCTGCCTGGTTCCATTGAACAATTATCCAATTGTAATTCTGAATCAGCATTGGTACTGTCGTTAGAAGAAAGAGTGTCTTCTTCCTCCTGTATGGTGCGCAGAGTAGTTCTCTCAATCCCATCCTTCTAAAACCTCATACCCTTATACCCATACCCTTAAACCCATGTTACCATGTATCCATATAAAACCTCACAAGTACGACCAAACTACCGCTACACTTTGTTGTGACTTCGTGAACTTAAAACTATGACTAATTGAAACCTTCTATTTATGACCGTGTGTTATTGTTTTGATATGATGTTAATTTTGAGAACTTGATGTTGTTTATTATAATTAGTTGTTGTTCATGATATACTCATGTTCTTTTACAATATTTGATGTGCTCTTGGTTTTAAGTATGTGATCATGTTATAATGTCTTTTTCGTATAAATTATGATTATATGACATTGTTTATGCTTATGTACTGCTCAAATTGAGCTTTTGCAAACATGGATATTTTTACGCACGGGTGCCCATTCACCCTGCCGGGTGACAGGTATGGGGAATTGTCCTTGTTGGTGGGTATGGGTATGCGAGATGGGTAAGATCAAGAGGGACGGATAAGGGTATATGGAGGATCCACCCGTACCTTGGCTCATCCCGGCTCCCATGCACTCTGCTCTTTTATCCGTGCTTCCAACTGCTTCACCTTCAAATTCTCCCACCTGGTCCCTACCATCGCCATACCCCCCTTATCTCCTCCACTAGGCAAGAACCCCGCTCTTCATGACCATAATCTGTCACGCTTCAATGGAGCACCCACGGCGTCAGGCCAGATGGGTTCTCTTACGGCCACCAAGCGTTTGGCCTCGGCCACAACCCTAGTTCCAACACCTACAAAGTTGCTCGCTTCTTCTACCGCTCCAAGCACGACCTCAGGATGGAGGTCTTCACTCTCGGAGGAGAGCACCGCTGGCGAGAGACTACGGCGCATCCTTTGTACCCCGTTAAGCCAGGGCGAACCGCCACCTTCTTCAAGGGCTCTCTTATTTGGACCGTCAATGAGGAGATTCACAAGGACGCCTCCGGTTTCCTCTGCTTTTGCTTAGAGGACGAGTTGTCCAGCATTATGCCGCCACCTCCTTGTTGGAGCCCAAGGCTTGTGTATGCGTCGACCAGCTTAGTCGAGATTCGCGGGGAGTTGTGCGTGTGTGGGTGCCTCGGCTAGAGCATGGCTACAAGACAATGGAGATGTGGATGTGTGGTGAACGTGGCAACAACAATGTGCCGACGCAATGGGATTAGCGTTACGTTCTTGCCGATGTTCCTTTCTTTCGCACTTACTGGTCTTTTCGTCTCGTCGGCATATTCGATGAGGAGATCGTGTTCGGAGTCAAATCATACCGTCTCTCGTTCTACATCAGACCACAAGGTGTCCTCAAGAGTGGCAAGTCTATCATGGACTTGAAGTTTCACGACCCTATCACAGACATACTTGTTGAATACACACGCGAGAATCTCATTGGCTTTGACGCAATTCCCTTTGTTCCAAGCCTTGTACCAGTCTAGCAATCATACAGATCGAGAAAGCAAGGGGTGATGTTGTATCTTGCCCGGGGCAAGATATGACAGGGCATGAGAAACCAAATTAATTCCTCTGTGTTGATGATGATGGACAGACTTATTCTTGGAGTAGCATATTCTTTGTTGTTCAGTCACATATCGACCGATGGATTATTTTTCGATAAAGCGCATTTTTATTGACACAAAATGTAGCATCGACCGATGGATTATGGGGAATGATCATAGGGTTTCTGGTACTGCGATTGAAGGCACATCCAATTTGGATGAATTTTGTTTCATTTTTATCTTTAAAAAAAAATTGTTCAGGCCATCGATATGCATGAAGTGATTGAGGTACTTGCATAATGAAAATAAGTTCAGATGGTTTTAGACTAGAGCGAGATGTAGCTAGTCTCTGTCTGAAGAGAGATCATTGAGAAATATGCAGTCTGCTACTAGGTTATACTATCCTCCATGCCTCGCCACCATGCATGCCGAACTTCTTGAGTCTGCCGTAGAACATGACAGCAATGAGAACCAGCTTCCCTTGCCAGCTCCACTTCCCAGAGAAGCCAACCCACGTATCCCTGCAGCCGCCGTCGGCAGTCACCTGCCGGGCACAGCTGTACCCGGTGCTAAACCCCACGTTTCCGTACGCACTGCAAGCACAGTTCACACAATGTCACACGTTATAGTGGTGGCGATAGCTATATGTAAGTTGACTGAATTTCCAATTTGGGTAAGTCTCCGATTTCACGTCTAATGGTATCGATCATGTATGGTAAGAATATTGCAATTGATCATGTGCTTATACGCTTTTGTTAAGTAGGGGATTACCTGATAACCTCGACGGTGATGTTGAGGACGTTGAAGTTGAGGGGGTCATCGGAGATCTGCCGCCGCTCCGTGATGCACACGACGGCGATGAAGATGGCCAAGAACGAGAGCGGCGACATGAGCAGCTTCCGCCATATGCTTGTTACCCTTTTCTGGTGGTGCTGATCTGCTCCCACTTGTTGGTCACTGTCGTCTTCCACTGGTAGAAATGTAGTGTAAGGTGGTAGGTACCTGTTCGTAGTGTGTAGGCACGAGCATGATATGAGAGAGTTTATGGTTATCACTATCTAGAATGGATGGAGTGAAGGTATTTAACGTACTCCCTCCTGTCATTTTCACTACGTATATAAAATCTATATATGGAGTGGAGGGGAAAAAGCCTTCATAAAGTTTCACCACATATTTATATGAAAAAATATCAACATCTGCAAAACTAAAAATATATTGATATGAAAATTTAATTCACGCCGCATCTAATGGTATGATTTCGTACATTTACAAGATTAGTTAAATTTTATAAAGTTCGATTTCAGACAAATCTTATTTGCGGAGTAAAAAAGGGATGAAGGGACTACTTACATCATGACCACGTAGAGCACCACAACGGCTGACGACATGGTGGAAAGGTCCACGACCATCTCGCCGGTGTGCCTAGAGTTGACCGACATGAACAGTGCCGCAACGAGCTTCTGCGCGGCGGTGAGCCCGTGCAGCCCGTTGGAGCCCCACTCCATGGCGCAGAAGAGCGACAGCTGCGCCAGCACGAACGTGGCCACGGTGAAAGCCAAGAAGCAGGTGTGCCGGCTCGTCAGCAGGTGACCATAGCCGATGCTCTGCAGCTGGCCGAGCTCGGGCCTCCTGGTGACCCTCCGGAGAGCCCAGATGGCCAGCCTGAGGAAGACAGGGAAGAGCGTGTTGCCGAGGAGGACGTGCGGCATGACGAGGAGCAGGAGGCCCGGGAAGGACCGGAAGACGACCATCCCTTCGTTGTTCGGCACGAAGCCACCATTGGCGAATGTCGAGACGACGGTGAATACGGAGAAGGTGTGCAGGCTGATCCCCTTGCCGGCGAGCACAGCCCTTGCGCCGGAGACGACGCTCAGGTAGAGCAGCATCAGGGAGTAGCCGGCGAGGTGCACCACCACGTGATAGCCCAGCACTATGAACAGGAGCAACCTGGTGAGGAAGGCTCGGCCGTATCGGGGCTGCTCCTTGTTGAACCCTTGCTCCATCTGGTTCTGTGCAGTGCTATCGTCCATGAAGGTGGTAGCAGGGAGCTCTAGGCTAGACGGTGCTGGTTCGACTTTGCCACCACCATCACCATGGTCATGGGGGGCTTCTTTCTTCTTGGACTTGATGTAGGTAAAGTAAAGGCCAAGCATGCTGGTGAACACCTCGCCGCCGAGGAGCATAAGGATGGTCAGGAGTAGGAGCTGGGGGTTGGAGAAGGACTCCATCTCCACGGCCACCATGCTCGACACCGTGGTGGCCGACACCGAGGTGAAGATCAGGTCAAGGTCTATGGGCCTCGAGACCATGCTGGTCTTCATGGGCAGGGCTTTCAGGATCACGAAACCTAAGAAGGAGATGGTTACAAAGTACAAGAAATGGAGCCAGAACGGGTGCACATGGAAAAACAGGAGTTGGTAAACCCTCTGAAGCTTGCTATGTTGAGTGGTACTGCAGGAGACATGCAGAGAACCCATTCGTTGGTAAGTATTGTAGAGAGTTCTTGGCTTGTTCTGTTGGAGCAAGCAGAAACTACTGGGCTATTTATACACGAGAAAAATAGTTTTTTTCTTTTATATGTTGTGGTGTAGCTTAGCCTGTGTGTGTGTTCTGCACTGGCCACTGGAGACACTAATGGAAGGTGTGACATTATGGAGCTAGCTTGATTGCATTGAGTGCGATTGCAAAGCTAGCGCACAACGGGTGTTTGTGGAAGGCATACCACAATGAGATCTAATGATAAGTTCACGTCCATATCACCGATTTTAATAACAACAAGTAACCAAGAATTAGCAAATGCCCCTACTCGTACGTTGCGACAAACTAAGTGGAACAAATACCACTATAGTACATGCTCCATTGAAATAGCACATCCCTTGTAATATGACCATAGACTAGAAACCAGGTCAAAGGCAAACATCGTGCAACTCAAGAATATTATCCCTTTGACACAATGTCTTCGTTGGTGCAACAGAGCTATATATGTTTAGCTAGTCTCGTATGAAAATATCACTACCGGAACAGGGCTCTACCCCGACGGCCTAAACAATGCCAACGGCCCCCGTCGGCCTATGCCGACAGCCGAGACCAGGCCGTCGGCATACCCAAGCCGTCGGGCTATCTCCGGGTATGCCGACGGCCGTCGTCGGCATAGATAAGCCGTCGGCATAGTGCTGTCTATGCCTACGGCAGCCGTCGACATACCTGGGCCGTCGGAATACATGTGGGCCCGGCGACTCGGCATGTGACGGGTGGTTCACGCCGTCAGCTCTATGCCGACGGCAGGAACGGCCGTCGTTGGCATAGCTCGCGTCCACGTCATCGATCCGCCGCATCTGCCACGTCTTCAGTCCGAGGTACGGATTTCAGCTACCCCGGCCGCAGCCATATGCATATTTTTTATAAGTTTCTGTATATATTTTTTAAAGTTTTTTATGTATTACTATTTGATTAACTTAAATGTAGCATATGTAAATATAAACAAACATACATTATTTATCGATTTGGTGAAGGTTTTTCCATAGATTATGAATATACATGTAGTTTGTATTTTGTCGAGTATGTTAGTAATGTGACCTCATGTTCATTTGAATATAGGTCCTTATACTTTATTAAAATAAAAAACAGCTATGCCGACAGAAGTGTTGTGGCGGTTGCAAACGCCCGACACGCGCCTCCGCAGTGTGACCCCCCCTAACATCCGGGGTGTGGCCCCCCTCACAGACGACACCACCGCCGGCACCTGGAGAGGGGAAACGGCCGCGTCAGGTCTATACAGATGAGATCTGGCTGTGGGTTTGGCCCAGATGTTGCTCCCAAGTATTGCTATGGGTTGACCTACCACAACCGGGTAGATAAGTCCACTAGTCAAAGCCCGTTCAGGAAAAGTCAAAGGGTTAGAGCTCGTGGTCAACCACTCCAGGGTTAGGCGGGACGGGG